GCGGTTTGGGTTTTCCAAGGTCTCGCCTAGGTAAAACCAGCGTTGGGTCCCAGCCAGCGCGGCCGCTCCGGTCCTTGCGCCTCCATCCCGCGCTCCCTGCAGCCGGTGGGGCCTGCAAGGCCTGGCTGCGCTCGCTGCCTCGCACTCCCCTCCCCGGCTCACGCCAGGAAGAGCTGGCAGCTTCTCCCTGTTAAAAGGAATGAGGCTCTGGTGGGATGGGAGAGCGGCTTTACAGGTGCTGATGGGGACCGATTCTCTCGCAGCTCTCCGGAAAGCCCGGCGGCAGGAGCAGCTGGTCAGCAAGCGGCTTCTGCGGGAGGACACTGCAGCAGGGGAAGGTGGACAGGATGGAGCAGAGATGGTGCCAGACCCTCTCTCGGAGGATGAGGTGAAGAGCATGATGTTCTCCCTGGTGATGGGGGTGCCTGGGGTCTTGCCCAGCTTCTAGGCATGTGGAGGAGCCCGGGTAGACATGGGTTTAGGATCTTTTTCCTAAGTCTTTGCCAGACACGGTGAGAAACAGTAAGGTTCTTTGTGACCATCTTCGTGCCCTGGGTTTCTTTGCCTCCCAGGATTAACGGGATGAAATCTTAACCCTGGCACTACTTTAAATCACCCATCTTTTAATTTTTGGATAGGTTCTTGAGCTGCTCAGAAGTGTGCAGAGGGGCTCAGAAGACAGGAAAACATCACTCAGCCGCCTCCACTGGGCTCTGCGGAACAGGGAGACTCAGCAGAAGTTTGTCAGGTCAGCCCAGGTTTGGCTGTTATCCAGGGCACGTCCGGAGTGACCCTGTGTCCCAGTTGTCCTGTGGGTGAGCTGGTGTGTGGCCAAGGGTGGGAAGGCAGGAGGTGACAGTACCTGTTGGGTTCCACCAGGCTGGACGGCAGCATCCGGACACTCACTGGGCTCTTCACCAGCAGCCTGGCTGACATGCAGATGGAGGCAGCCCGCTGTCTCCACGAGCTCTCCCACTCCAGTGACCCTGCCGTGGCTGAGGCGTGTCTGCCAGTGACTTCCTATCTCCTCACCTACCTCTCGGGACACAGCGTTGAGTTCATGGTAAGATCCGTGCTTGTGTTTGCCAGGGCTCTGGCACCCGATAATCCTTTGGTCGTGGTTGGGTATTGTCCTCTTTTGGCCAGCCTTAGCCCAACATGGGAGTGCTGGTGGGAACTTCTCTAGTCTGACCTTCCCCATGGAGCAGGACTGTCCCCGGTGCTAGCCCAGGACAGCATAGCTTTGGCCGAGTCTTAGAAACACGAAGTCCCCCTTCACTGTGCCCTGTCCCAACACCAAGAGGAGTTCGGTTCCATCGTGTTTGCACCTCCTCATCCAGGCCAGGCAAATCCTCCTGCCACAGCCCAGGACGCAGTGGTTTGCCCCATTTGCAGTGGGTTCCTCCTCTTCAGCTCCAAGCTTTGTTTGGTGAAGCTGGGACTGCAGGCTGTGGCAGTTGCGCTCCAGCACCAGACATGTGGTCTGCCCTCTTGATGCAGGTTGGGCTTGGACAGGAGGTACCTGGGTGTCTGTGCAGTGGGTAGAGCAGAAATACTACACGCAGGTCAGTTTAGGTGTTTTAAAAGATCCTGGAAAAGTGAAGAAATGAGCAGCTGCAGGCTGGGATGCAGGGACGGCGACAGTCAGCTTGCCTTCACACAGCAAGCAGGCAGGCTTTCATCCAGGTCGGGAGGAAGAGCAGAGTGCCTGTGGTTCCACGCTGTGCAGTTTGATCCTGGTGAAGGAGCAAACGGTTGGAGTAGCTCTGGGACATCCGTGGGTTTGCCAGCTGCCAAGCAGTGCGCCTTGTGCAGTGCTCCTTCGAGAAGCACAGGATCAGAGCTAAGGGACAAGTCTGGGAGCAACCCCAAGGGGATGATCACGTTTGAATGCAGCACACGGGCAGTCTCCAGGAGAATACTGTGGGATTAGAAGGGTCTCAGGGAAATGTCACAGCAGTAATTAGAAGCCTGAAAAAAACTCCAGAGTAGGAGTGATCAGATCCCAACCTGAGCCAGATAGAAAAAGGGTAAATTGAAGCTGATGCATCTGGGAATGGGGTAGCTGGAGAACATCCAGCAGTATCTGTATCTGTGTTCACCCCTCTGCAGACAGCTTCTGCCCCAGGCAGGGGAAGTGCCTGCCCTAGTCCCAGGGTGCAGGGACCTAGAGGCCTCTCTGGCTGCCTGGGGTCCTGCTGGGGAGTGCAGAAGAGGTGACCTGCTCTTGGATGTGTTTCAGGAGTTGTGTTTGTACACACTGGGGAACCTGGTAGTGGAAAGCGAAGCTGTGAGGAAACAGCTTCTGCCTCAGGGCATCATTCCAGTGCTGGCATCCTGCATCCAGGTAGGTGAAATAGCTCTGCCACACTTCCCCTGCCCCAGAAAGATGCTTTTCCTTACACCCTTCGGACACTGGCTGACAGCACCGAGTTACCAGCCCTCCTTCCAGCTTGGCCATGGGCAGAGACCCTTCCGCAGAGTGCTGTTCCCTTTCAGGTCAGGGTCTCTCACAGGCTGTCCATTTTTGGGGCTCAGATGCTCTTCTCCAGCTGAATCTCTCCCATCTGTAACTGTGGCTTGCTGATAAAGTCTGTAACACGGGCAGCTGCAGGCTTCTCCCCTCTGTACGGCTTGGGCCCAGCAGCAAACGAGGCCAACACAGCGAGCAGGGCTGTCGTGTGCAGACCCAAATGCCTAAAGCAGCTCTGCTGCTGTGTGTGGGCTCCTGGATCCCTACAGCTGCAGCCCACATGAGCCCGGGGAGGGGTACAGCTCAGTTTTGTGTGGCCGCAGCTTGCTCTATCACTCCCGCTCCCCTGCTGTGCCCCCTCTTCCCCAGGCGTGGGGAGACTGCGCCGCTCGGCTGCTTTGGTTGTCCTTACAGAGAGGTATGTCCTCTCACCAGCGTGGTAGATGCCACCCTGGAATCCCCCTGGCCCTGTCACGCCGGATTAGCTTTGTTCTGTTCGATTGCAGTCCCCGCACGAGGCTGTGCTGGAAGGTCTGGGCTACGTCCTCTCGCAGCTCCTCCAAGCCAAGGAAGCCCCCGCAGAGATCATACCGTGAGTCTGAGCCTCTTAACCCTGAGCCAGGATGGGCCCTGGGGCCTGGCGTGGTATTTGCGTGCCAGGAACAATGACGCCTTTCCCATCCCAGTGATATTAATAGTTCAGAGCAGAGTCCTACCCCAACTATGGAGGTTTTATTGCAGATCAGGGCACGGGACTTGACTCTTCTCCCTCAGCATCATCTGAGCAGACAGCTCTGGTATTTCGGTAAAGGACAGTGTTGAGCCGGGTAGGCTCGCAGGGAAATTCCGGCTGTGTTCTTCCTGCGAAGCACAAGATCAGCTTGACAGCACCCAGTGCTGAAAATGAGACCCCAGCCAAGGTGTCCCGAGTGCCCCCTGGCACGGACAGGGGGAGCTTGTGCTGGGCCTTAGTGGTACCTGAGGCTGCAGCCCTTAGGGAAGAGTCTCTTCCAGGTGTGTTTTTGGAGCATGTGGCCCCCAGTACAGGGGAGCAGCTCCCTGCTCAGTGGCTAGGGATAGTGTCTCCCTTTCAGTTATCTGTCCTGCTTGTTCCATGGCCTGTGCCTCTGGTAACTCTGCTGTTCTGACCCCAGGTTGGTGCTGGACTCTCCTCTCCCCCAGCACATGCTTCAGCTGGTTTGTTCCGGCCTCAAGGCTGGGACAGGAGCAGCCGTGGAGTTTGCATGGTGTCTGCACTACATCATTTGTAGGTAAACGTGCTCCTCTCCTCAGTCTGAGTTCCCTGGGGGCATCCAGCCAGAGGGGCATGAAGGCTTGGGGTTCTGCAGGGGGACCTGGATTGCTTCGCCTCCCTTGGGAAAGCAATTTTCCTGCCACCCTGGGCATGCCCATTCTTGTGTCTGAGCACACACATGCTGCTTGCAGGATAACCGAGTTCCTTTACAGGGTGGTAACAGGTGATAAACCTGAGGACACTGTTCCTAGTCCTCTGACACCCCCCCAGTCACCTCCCCTTGTCTGGGGTTGTCCCCCACACTCCCCAAGGCAAGCTCCCTGCATCCTTGAGCTTCTGGGGTTGCCCCAGTGTCACGGGGCCGGGCTGGGTGCTGACAATCTGCCTGCCTTGGCGTGGCTGCTCCAGTGCCACCCCCTTTGGCAGCCCCAGCAGAGAAGGGAATGCATGGGTACTCCAGAAGGGGTCAGGGCTGTTGTTTAGACCCACGTGGGCAACTCGAGTGGGTCTGTTTGCCAAGGGCTTTTAAACTTTCTCCTAAGGTCCAAGACAAGCTGCTGTTCAAACGTTAAACGAGCCCTGTGGTGCTTCAGGAGAGCGCTGCAAATTTCCAGGCCCTGTTCAGCGAGGGCTGCAGCGGTTTTCCCTCTGCGAGTGCTGACAGCAACCACGCTATCCCTTCCCTTTGCAGCCACACAGCCAACGCAGCATTGCTGTCCCTGGGGGCCTTGCCTGCCCTCACCTCGCTCTTGCTCAACCTGGCTTCTGAAATCCCCCTGAAGGCTCCTGAGGGCCTGGAGCTGGTAAGATGCGGGCAGGGTGCTGGCTGTTCTCTGTGTCACTGTGGGATGCAGCCCGGCTGAAGGACTTTGCATCTCCCACCCTCACAGCTCGTCTGCCCAGTGCTGCGGTGTCTCAGCAACCTGCTCGCGGAGGAGACGGGCTGCGAAGGGCAGATCCAGGACGAACGCTTGCTCATTGCCCTCTTCCTCATCCTCCAGTGCTTCCTCCAGCAGCACCCCTTCATTGTACAGGAGTGTCTCTGGCTGCTGAACAACCTCACAGGTGAGGGTCCCGTGGGGCTGTCGGCAGAGCCAGAGCTGCTGCGGGGACCTGCTGTGAGTCCTGGCAGACTCAAGGCATCTTGTCTACAGAGAAAACTCCCTCCGTTTTGTTATGTTCCTTCTCCACCCACCCCAGCGGATGAGCCCTTCTTCTGCTCCGCTCTGCTCTCCCTGGACTTGCTCCCAGCCCTGCTGCAGCTCCTGCCGACTTCCCAGATGGCCAGCGCGTTGGTAAGACCTCGCCCCGTGCCCCAGGTCTGGGGGGGAGGAGTACTGGACTTTCAGGAACACGAAGCCTGCATGCACAGTGCTCGAGTTGGAGGTTGAGGTGGTAGCAACGGCTTGGCGGAGGGTCTTGCGTTGTGGTAGTCACCGCCCACCTCCCCTGAAGTCACTGCGTCTGCATATACCTTTCACAGAGCCACGTCCCGACAGAAGAGGGGTCCTGGGGCAGATGTTAACTTGGGGACAGGCCTGCCAGCACCCGGAGTGGGGCCGGGGAGGCTGCTGCCACCTTCTTTTGGAAGACCATAAAGCTTTAGGGGATCCTGGGAGATGCTTTGCCAAGGGGGGTGTGGTACGGCTGTGTCTGCTTGGCCCCGGGGCTGAGAGCGCCTTGGGGTGGGGATGGAACAGGCTTTTAATGATTGAAAATCCCACTGGGTGGGCATGTGGCTTTGGGGAAGCACCTGGTAGGACCTCAGGGAGGACACGGGGGGTTCTCCGGAGCCCTCCTAAGCCTGCCAGGAATCTGCGCACTAACCAAGCGCACCTCGCCCACTCCCTCTCGGCTCCTCC